CTACCTACTACCTACTACCTACTACCTACTACCTACTACCTACTACCGACGACGGCTGCGACTACGATGGCTCCCTGAGCCGATAATTCAGGGGAGTGGACCTCATGAGTGCTATCTCATACCTTCTTGACCTTGTTGACCTTCTACGTGGGGGGGGGGCAGATTAATCCGGGGTTTGCATTACTGGGTTCTTTTGAAAAGGATAATCTATTGGACGGATCATTTCTGGGTTTGCAAGGCAGAGTTTGATTAAAGGAGCTGGTGACTGAAATTTGCTGGGTTTTGTGTGATGCTATCTAACGAATTGCGTGGCGTTGCCTTTGCTAGAATCAATGACTGTACATCATGGCTTCGCTCCGATTCACCTGCTCCAGAGGGGTTGATGCGCTTGTAACGGACCAGAAGCGAACACACATCCATCAACCCAATGCACTCGTTTCTACTGCAGTGGAATGGGGAGACATTTCATGAAAGAACCTGCGAGACAATCCATGACAATCCTAGACCTTGGGCATTTTTAGTAGGAGCAAGGACGCTACTAGTAGCTCCTGGCATTGCTGCTAGGAGCAAGAAGCTACTAGTAACAAGGCAAGTGCAAAAGGACGCTGACCCACAGCTCCTGAACTCACCGGACCCTACCCTCCCGCAGGCGGTTGTTCCAAAACAGAGATCCCGTTCGACCCCTAAACCCTCTCCAACCCAGCAACATGAACCGCCCAATGGGCGCCTCTCATTCTCCACCGGTCTAGGCCGCCCGTGGAGACGGTGCTCTCGCCCAAGTTGCAGCACCTGCCTCTTTGCCACGAGTTCAGCCACTGTTTTCAGTGCCACGAGTTCAGAGGGTGAATCCACCGAGCTGATCTTGTCGATGAGACTTCCTGTGTATCAGATTTGCTGCATCACTTGGGTCTCACAATATTACTGAGATGGTTGTACACCTGGTATTCATTGAACAAAAAATGCAGAACATGAGTCTCGTTCCGATGTTCCAGTCTGTTTGCTCATATTATACAAGTCTAAACCGGAGAAGTTGCTCTTCCAGCCGTCCAAACACCAAGCTCGCCGAACTTGGAGCCCAATGAAGGTGAGCTTTCAGAATCCCAGACCATCCGTGGATGGTTCAGTTTCATTGGTAAATCCCAGACCTTCGTGGATTAAGCTGGATAAACACTCCCTGGAATCATCATGGTTAGGTGGATGGCATGGATTCCCCGGTTTTGTGAAAAAAAGGTGATGTTCATTAGTTTTTAGATGTTCCCTATGGCGTAAATCCATGTAAATCCCCCAAACCTGGGGCGGACGTGTCTTTGTTCCCGCTGGACAGCACATCCAAGATTTGTGACAGAAATATCTTCAGTCCCGTGGATCCTCCTCATGTCAAGCCTTGGAAACCCGGAGAAACCCCTCCCCATGGCCCAAACCGAAACGAATGAAGGTCACCTGGACCCTGTCTTCCAAACCCGCCCCGGTGTCCAGACATGCACCGGCGCCAGACGTCCCGGGGTCGCAGGACGTCCCGGCGCCACACGTAAGTTACGACGGACAGACTGGACGGTCACTCGGTTTGGAAAACACCCAGCGACGAAGCGGTTGCTTGGTGTGTATGTTGTTTGGATTGCTTGGTGTGTTTTTGCATGGAGAGAGCTTCCCCAAATCATCTCCCAGGTCGTTGGGACCTGCAGTCCAATCTCGGACCCATAGCCTGACTCGTCGCCCGACGGCCGCTCCCCTCAGCCAGATGCCGCATGGCCTGGCAACCCGTTCTGAACGTGTCGACCGACGGCGGTCGACACTGGAGGCTTAAGATCCTCTTGGATCCGACGCCTGAGAAGCGCTATCAAGTGTGGCAGGAGTCGATGAGAAGGGCCGGGGTGGATCACCAGCTGGTACAGTACTATGTCCAACGACTTTTACATATCTTTACAGATATATATACTCACAAAAGACATTCAAGCCAGCTGGTTCCCTGGAGAGTTGAGGCAGCCTTGGCATAAGAGCCGTTTTAGATCAGCTGGCTGAGCTTTTTGGAGTTGCACATGGGAGTTCCCGAACCCCATTTGCTTTCTGGATGGCCTTGCCATCCCTATATAGAAGATTGGTTTGAAGCTCCAAATGTAGACGGTTGATGCAGAAAACTTAAAATCCCAATATGGAGAGGCTTTACAATCCACATGTGGAGGGTTGTTAATCGACAGTCTTCAGTAGAGATGCAATAGCATGGCTAATTCTGCGGTGTAATTCTGTTTTGGAAGAAGAAAGCAGCCACTCTATGACTATATATTATTACTGTATCAGGGAAATGTCCAGAGTTTTTGGTAGAGGACATGCGAATCTTCAATTCCTTTAAAGTGGTTAGTGGGTGGGCCACTTCATGCGAGAGCTTAAAAGCTCTATGATCAAATCCCAAAGACTCCATGGGATGGGATGTTTATCTACATTGGGGTGGTTTCACGGGTCAATGTAAGTACATATTCCATCATATTCCATATATTCATGGAGTGTTTAGGACATGGTTCATATCTTCATTGCGCAGGTGGTTCATCGTGATTCCACTGCGCAAATAAGCGAGTTGATAGAATCATCTAGGAGACCCTACAATTAAGGGAATTATCTATTTTGTTTAAGACATCTTAAAGACTGTTTCGACTAAACGACCAATAGCTGTTTGTTGCACCGGAAAGTAGGGAAGAATACAGGGAGCACCAGGTATTCACAGCCTTCCATGTTATCGAACATTTGAGAGTCTGACCTGTCTTTGGGATATGGAGATTCTATCAAATCTTAAGTGGGTGAGGTTCAAGATGTGTTCTGATTCTTTCTTCCACGACCTTCCCGAACTGCACAGTATCTGGTCTAATTCGGAAACACCTTAAAGTGGCATCCAGTGTGAAGAAAGAGGCTTACTGCACATCGTCTGCTGAGCATCTGCACATCGCTTTTCAGGAGCTATGGGAGGAACCACCGACCTCGTTGAAAGTCACGCTCTCAGTGAATCAGGGTGAAAGCAACCAATGGTGAAAGTGAAGGTGCCCTCCGAACACATCATGCAGATGGTTACGTGGATGGCATGGTCCGATGACTCTTTTCCTCTAAAGAAGAGCAGGGAGTTGTCCACTTCTATACAATTGAGTGAATCACTGTATGTACTGGACAATTCATCTCCCTGAGGCTGCACCCACCCTGCCGTTTGACGTCCGAACTCGTGAAACCTCTTTCTTCCTCTTCTGTGCGTCGAGGGCGGTCGCCTGTGACTAGATGATTTGGAGTCCCAAATATAGAAAAACACCTATATATACTGGATGCCCGTCTTGATGCTTCACGACCAGCTCGTTTGGATTTGGGCAAGTTCTCTTAGTTCTCTTTCCCTTAAGAATCCGAGCTCGGGCCTTCGCCACCGCATGATCCGCGCCCGGCACACAACGGTGCACACCGGTGAGTTCGAACTCCGCACACCGCTCAGCGCACCGCCCAGGTGGACTTACCAGAAAACCCGTCAGCGGAGCGGCGCCGAACCGACCGTGTCCGGGTCGGCGATCGGGGTTGAAACACATCCTCCCGGAGGCGAAGCATGAATCAATCGTTGACATACATGTCGATGTCGTTTTGTGCGACTGTAGCTATATGTTCTTTAGGGGGAGGATGGACAATCAATTGCCTGACAATCCTTGTTGAGCTGCATACCTCCTTGTCCAAGATTGTCAAGAGGGCAGACACTCCGCACGAGAACGTGCAAACATGCTGAAGGAACACCAATTATGTTTGAAGAATGATGACGAATGCAACAGTTCCATGTTCAATCAACTTCCTTGTTGGAGAATGGGTTTCGGAAAGCGCTCCTAGAATCCAATTCCACCATTCTTTGAAGGAATGCCACTCTGTTGACTGACCATCATCCTGGCGAGTCACCCCCCAAAAAAAGAGACAAAGTCCAGCCGCGACCAGAACGGCGCTTGACCCTTGGCATGGGCGCCCGAACCCAGGACGTTCGGATGGATGGTTAGACAGGTGGCATTTCGTGGACGAGAGCGCCAGGTCCGATGCTTTGGGACCCACGCCACGCCAGGAGGATCACACCCATCTCCTTCCCTTGAAGGTGAAGTGATGGCTGAAAGCCGCCGCCGTGTCCGGGCCGCACAAGGCACCGTCTTTATTTCCGATCGCGCACGGCCGCAGTTCGCGATCGGAGACAGATGCGAGGACAGATGCGAAGCGGGGCGAGGACAGATGAGAATTTAGCATAAGTATAGTGCAATCCCAGACACTCCATGGGACTGCCATAGGACTGCCACCCCATTGGGGTGGTTGACTGGGGGTCTGGCTGGGGCGGCAGTCCGGACTGGCAGTCCCATGTGTCGTCTGGGAATGGTTGACCCGGCCCCAAACTCACTCGAGGGACAATCCAATGATCCAGAGGTTGATCTCCTTGGGGTCTATTGTCTCCCGAAAACACGAAAACACGAGAGAAGACCACGTTCTTTGATTTGCCAAGTGGTTGCTGGATCAGCTTTGGGGCAGAGCGCTTGTTGATGGTCGTTGATGGTTGTTTGGTGCAAGCGCACTAAATTGAATCTAGACCAAATGACCAATTGTCACTTTCTTCCAGTGTCACGCGGCCCTTTGGAGGGATTGTGCATGATTGTGCCATTTATTCTGAAACTTACTGTAATTAGTTGTGCGTTGAGTGCTTGTTCATCGTTGACTTCATCGGATAATCTTCCAGACTGCGATCAACATGGAGTACAGTAACACAATCCGGGATATATAGAGCACCAAATAGACAGAAAAGTAGATCTCCGAATCTCCACGCCGTAGAACATGTATTGGGTTTCCCACACCATCCTCTCTCTTTGCATGGGGAGTACTATAAAGCGAGTCATTCATTGACATTGGCGGACTGACTTTACACATGGGGGTTCCCTTGACAGATCTACTTCAGCTTTGCCAGGGGACCATCTTTGCTCCCAGTTTGTGTGATGTGTTCTTGATGTTGGCAACCGACCCAAGGACACCGCACGTGCTCGCCTTTTCTGCGCGCAGTGCACGGAACTCCGTGCCCCCCAAGTGCCTCGAGTTCGTTCTTGGCTGAGGTGATTCCAACGTCGAAGACCATACACAATGGTGGAGGGATGCAGTGTTCGGTGGACCGTTGGCCCCGTTTGCCCTGTTGGGCCACAAACCGCCACCATCTTTGGCGATGCGTTGCATGGCGCATTTTGGAGAAACTGGACGTGTGGGTCACCGTCGGTTCCGCCGAACTCCACACCGCCTCCGCGGATGAGAAGCAGAAGGTTCTCCAGGTTGCAAGGCTTCATGGCTGAGTGGGCACTTCGAGAACTTGAATATGTGGAATATCTTAATCAGAAGGTTCGTGATTAGTCTGGTACAAAGGCAAAGGTTGCAAGTGGCTAAAGGGATAGATTCTTTCGTGCTGATTGGATTTGATAGGTGTTCTTGGATGTTTTTGGTGTGTTCCTAGCAACTGCCATTGCGAGGAGGCAAGTGTTTGTAAAATGTTGTAAATCTTTCGATCAGGTCGCAACCGCTTGTGTGCGGCCAACTGGACTTCTATCTAGGTTTCAATGGGATTCCAATCCAAAGTTCAGCATGAACGGTTGGATCAATGCTAAGAATTGTTCGTCAACAGGGTGTTCGAAGTAGTTTCATCGAAACCAACGAGTTCATCTCCCTGTGTTGCTTGCAGGGACGTCGATCATCAACAAATATCTTGTTGGTTCGAGACCGAGATATGTTTGTTTCAACCTTTGGTTGGGATGGTTGAACCACTGGCTATACATAAAATTTCCAAGTGAGTTGAAACCACCAATCACGAAACATTATGACACTTTTCAATCCTTTTTTGGGTGAAGCTACAACAACTAAATCACCATCCACTCGTCCTGCTTTGTTTTAGGGTTCTTGTGGGCAGTCATTCATGTGTTGTGCTTTTCCGTGCTCCTTCCCGCCACATGACTCGAACTGCATGATTTACACTCCCACATGGAAGTGGACTATTTGTGTTTGTAAAGCAGGAACGTCTTCTGTTTTGCCTTAAGAGCATCGTCCACCAGTTACCACCCGTTTTCTCGTGACGGGTGAGGTGGACGCCTGGACCATGACGTGACTTGTGACCGAGACGCTGTGACCTGTCCGGACGTGGAGACGCCGTTCACCTGCTGAACACCGGGTTTCAGACAGCAAGAACCGGTGTGAGAAAGAGTGCCAGTGCCAGGGATGCCTGGCCTTGAGGACCTTTAGTTACTTTAGTTGTCGAGATTGTTTGAACGCGAGGGAGGCAGGTCGATGTGAGGCAGGTCAACTGGAGGGAGTCTGAGCGCGAAGCCCGTGCGAAGTAGGGGGAGCGAACGGACGAATCTTGAATAGAATCGTCTATGATTAGAATTCATTTGAAGTTCTAGTCAGTCCAGGGCTAACACATATAATAGATATACTGATGGAGGTACTCAAGATAGTTTCGATGAAAACGGGACTCAGGGCCTCAAGCTGAACACCACGGTCGCGGGCCTGAAAAACAGCTGGGCCTCCAAAGCTGACTCGGTCCCATGTCATTCATTGATGGCCCTATTCCATTGATGGCTGTATTCTTGATTCCATTGATGGATGACAAAGCTTAATAACGAATTCGCTGTAGTACGTAGCTGGGTAGGTGAGTTATCGCCGATGCCCCCTCGCAAGGGAAGCTCTCTATTCTTGATCGATCACGGCTGGAGCGTTGTGGAGTGTCAACGGACTGGAGGTGATATACCAGCAGTGGTAGTCTCAGCTTCTCAGCTGTCCCCAACACTACTTCGATGGTTCAGAATCACGACCTGATGTAGACAAACATCACACAGTGCACTGTTTCTGCTTCACTTTGCGCTGTTGATGGAGCTTATAGGGTGTTTTTGTTCTTTTGCGCACCCATGCCATGATGTGTTTTCTTCCCTAATGTTCCTTTGATCCTTTCAGAAAAAAGAGACAAAAACCGCGCGGAAGACCTCGCTCCCACCAGACCGTGCCGGTAGCAGACTTACCATTCAAGGTTTCAAGCGGAGAGGAATGACTAGCTTGCAGCGGTCGAGTCAGAAGGACGGACTTCCCGAAGCCTTGAGTGAAAAACACGGATGTCCGATCAGGTTTTTGTTTGGTGTCCTTGCTACTAGTAGCTTCTTGTTTCTAGTAGATCTAGTAGCGATGACCTCCAACCTAAAAAGCGATGGCCTCCACCTAGTAGCTTATAGGGGGTGGAGGCAAAATGACTCAGGACCTCTTCTGCAATAAGAATTTGCCTCGTTTCTCTGTCCCTTGAACAGAGTTTCCTAGCTGGTTTGATGTAGCAACAAGACTCTTCAGTAGCATGAGAAGGCGTCTATTGAACTTGGAACTCTATGTGATCATCAAAGAGAATGGACAGTAGATCCCTTTATATACGTATGTCTTGGAGTTTGCATCTTTCCGGGGATACTGCTTCGGCAATCTATCACGAGCCGTTTGGAGGTCCCGTATGTTGACCAAAGGAGCTTCAAGCGTTCCTTCAAGCGTTCTCCGGGGTTCAAGGTATACTTTTCGGATCTTTTCTGAAGGTCTGAGTCTAGTACCATGTGTACATGTCAGTACTATATGTATATTATCAGTACCCAAGAATACTTATCTTAATGTTTCTTGCAGATTTAGTGGTCACTGCCTTTCTTGAGATTCCAGCACCTGTGGTGATTCCATTGAGTTACCAGGCAAAAACGTCCCCCACTGGCGAAGCGACCAAAACGAAGCGAGTGAACTGATGGATCGATCCGAATGGAGTGGAGCCCCATGTCGAACCCAGCGTTGGGCGGTGATTCCAGCGGGGAGTTGGTCTCCAAAACTGATAAACATCTGTGACAACGGTTGGGCAGCCAAACTGCTTCCGAGATTCAGATGGCAGTTCTTGAAACATGAACAGTCCATTGAGTCTCTATTAGGAGGTAGACAGCCAGGTAAACATGATGTTTCGCCGTGCGCTGACCTAGCTGCTCATTCCGCCGCTGCTTGGCTGACAGCCGTGCCAGAGGTCTAGATCGGCCAATTCTGCCGTCAGAGACTGGGTATATATGGCTCAAGAATTGGATCTCCGTGGAAGGGTGTTTTGCACGTCAGCACAGTAGCAAAGCCTGCAATGGACACGGGAGTGTACACTGTCATCAGTGCATCTCATCAAGGATAGATATCGATGTCAAGCACGGCCGATCATGTTTGAGTTCTTGTTTCTTGAGCCACAATCCAGATGCCATCCAAAGCCGTTGGTCAATTTTTATTGAGCGAACTGCTAGAGGATCGTGCTGCGGTGCAGTTTGAGGTGTCGGACATGTTGGGTTGGGTCTACATGGGTTTACCATTCTAGGAAATCCAAATACCTCTCAGAAGGTACTTGGACCCGCATGGCGCCTACAGAAAAGTGTTTCCAATCACCCTTCCAGAGGATCGATGATTCCAATGGAACGTTTCATGATCCCTAAGATGGATGACCTTCCTGAAAGCCGTTTTTGGGGATTGCGGAAGACACCTTGCAAAACAAGAATGAGGTGGAAGGTTCGGTGAAGCCTTGCTTTTGGGATTTCATGTCCGGCTATAGAATCTCAATTTGATCTCAATCGGACTCTGATTTGATCAGGACTGTTGCATTACGTTTGCTTAGTCAGTCGTATCGGCCTCCAAGAAATACGACGGTGGAGCTGGCACCCGTTTAGTCCACGAAAAAGTTCCTACGCCGAGTTTGTCGTCCGTCCTGGAGAACGCTTTTTATGTTGAGGATGAGGTGTCGAACGGTCGGGCGCACGTGTTGGGGAATCCTCAAAAGGTCGACCGTTCGACACCCATCCCGAAACCGCACGTGCGAACGAAACGGATGTGTCTTAACAACCCAGGGAAGACACCTCCAGATGGCAGACCGACCCTGTCAGGGATGTCCAAAACCAAATTGCTGTAACAAGGGCATTACTATACTGGTAGCAAGAAGCTACGAACATAGCTCCTGGCCTTACTACGAACGGAGCAAGGTTCGCTACGCAAGTAGCTTACGGGCATCGGTCATCCGATTTCCTCGGCGATGGCCATCCACGGTCACCGAATTGTTTTGCCTTCAACTAACTGTGTTTGGCTGGTCTGGCGGGTCCAAGGACGAGGGAGTTGTGCTAACGATGTTTGATGATTTGTGGCGAAAAAGAAGGACACACCATGGATATTGACAAATCAAACATGTTAATGTGCATGTTGCCATGATTTATATATATATAACTGTGTTTTTCATGTCTTGTTGAAGTCAACAACATCTCTCTTCCCAATGTTTGTCCAGACACCCGTGGGCGACCCTTTCGTCACACTGCGTCACGGCATGACACATTTTCATGACACATATTTGCCCCAACGAACCAACGTGTGTGTGTGGGAACGGATGCGTGGCATGGCGTTTCTGATCTTCTCTCCGTGCTTGGCGGAGAAGAGTGTAACATCTTTGGAGGTTTGCCATGAAGATCGCGTTGTCCTGCTTGGTATACTTTTCCGCGGAGAACCGGGTTGTTAAAGGTGTGAGAGATCCACCATTGGATTCCAATACTCTCAAGGGAAGCATGAACCCACCCAGAAGGCCAACGTTCATCGATGTCGCAGAGCACTCTTTCAGCCCCAAAGAGATCTCATTACGGCAAGAGAAATGAGGTAGACGAACTTGGGAGGTCACTCGCACCTACGAAGATGATTCAAGTCAATTCCAATGTCATGATTTTGCCGTGGGATTCAATTGTTCCAAAGTTCCTACCGTGCTTTTGGGAGGAGTACAGGTATGGATTTTGACCGTACCTCATATAGTATCATATAATAGTTCGCTGCATGATTACACCAATGACACCCCACTCCTCGAATTTGATCAGTTCTTGGGACATTCCCAGAAAATCCTTCTGAAGCACAAGAAGATCAGGGCAGATGAACTGCAAGAAGACGGACCACAGGTGCGCACATGTTTGTCACTTCGTTTGGGAATCGAACGTCTACGGACGAAAAGCGCGAATTGGATTTGTCGGAGCACACGCGTTGTTGAGGTCCGGAGCCTCCCATGCAGAAACAGCTGGTTTTGAGCTAACCAACATGAACCAGCACCACCTAAAGTATGTATATATATACATATATAGATGGAACATGATGGAAAATAACGAGTGAGGGGCCAAAGGGGGTCTATAAACCGCCCTTTGGGTGGTGCTGATTGAGAGTGACCCCACACCCCTTGCTGGAAGGGAACATGGACCAATAAGCCCGAGATCGGAGAAGGGTTCTACTATGATATACCTATCCAAAAGGCGCCCACCATCATCTCTCAGTTTGGATGATTTGCGGAACTCGATCGCACCAGAAATATGAGGTGTGGATCCTGTGCAGCAACGGAATAGCTGCATGTTGCCGCTTCATGTTCGCATGATGGAAATCGGCATTCGAGTTCAGAGTCAGAAATCAATGGCACAGTTGGAAAAGGCATCGGCGTCGTCGCGTCCCAACGCAACACGTGTCGCATGACATCATGTCTTTTTTCATGGGGACGTTTGGGGGCACGCGTGGTCCAAACGAAATCACAGGTAGATGGGTGCAGAGTCACCTACCTTGGAGTACTGACTCTGCTGGGAGTGAGGGTTGGTTTTAGTGCCACCCCAAGCTGAACCCCTGGTCACGAGTCATTGAGATGGGTGTGTTTTCAAGACATGGAGACCTCCAGCCCGCTCTTTGGCGAGAGCAAAAGTGGACCAATCCATACCAATCCCATTGGTTAGGGGGGTTCACCCGGTTCTAATATATACAAACGTATAGTAACATATATATATATATATATGTAATAACACATGCATGTATACATTCTGCAATAATTGTGATGTTGAGTCATTGCTATGTTTCAAGAACCTTTGGGACGGCCTAACTCGCGTGGTGGCTTGATGTGATCTCTTGGCCCGGCATGAGACCAACAGACAACGCGCTGCTTGGCAGGTGAAAGTGTCCTTTTTGTCCCGTGTATTGCATCAACTTAGTTGTGCAAAGTTCGTGAGGGAGTTGCCAAGTTATAAATATATAGGTCATTATAGGTCAGTCGGACCTCATTTTACTGGAGTTGATCATGCATAAGCACTACTCAACAAGGTAAATTACCGGGTTTCACTGTATCTTTGGAAACTTAGGGTGTGTTGTTTTTCTCCAAGTATCAAAGACCTATGAGGAATCAAAAAAAGTCAACTCCGATGTTGATACCCAATACAGCTTCAATACCCATGCTGTTTAATATATGTGATATGATGTAATATATATATATAATATATATATATATGCATTTATCAAGATTGCACCGATGTCTTCTGATAAGACCCCTGATGTGTTTGTGAACTTGGCGAACTTGCTGTGCAAACGAGACCGTTTTCGGCGACGTTTTGGATCTTTTGAACGTCCGCTTTTGGGACCAATCTAGACCAGCCTCCTGTCATCATCGCTCCCCTTGCTGTGTTCGGCTAAAGCCCCAGCCACCCGTCCAAGAGCGCCGGTTCACTTGCCGGGCACCGGTGCGGCGCCCCACGAGAGGTGGGGTCCGTGCACTCGTCCGCGGGGACGTCCGCGGGTGCCACCGAATGGCGGTGGCGAACATTGAACGGCGAGGGCCGAGATTTGCAGTGGAAGAATGAGATGTGATGGCCTCCAACCTAATAGCGATGTCCTCCAACCTAATAGCGATGTCCTCCGATGTCCTCCAACCTAATAGCGATGTCCTCCAACCTAATAGCGATGTCCTCCAACCTAATAGCGATGGCCTCCAACCTAATAGCCATGTCCTCCAACCTAATAGCGATGTCCTCC